AAGGAAGCTGCTCATTTCATGGTTGGTTCGCAGCTGCGTTCCTTCTTCGTTCTTATATGCAACATGGGAGCACCTGCGGCTCTTTTGTGGGAATCCTTCAAAGACGCCCTTTGTGAGGACCATTTGCATCGCCATCCTGATGATCGTGAGCTCGCCTTCAAACTATCTCTGCTGGAAATTGAACGCAGTCTCCGACGTCATGGGTCATGTTTGGCCGACCATGGCCTCCCAGTCGTGGAGGACAACACTACAGAGTTGGGCAGGGAGCTACTCATCTACGGCGAGAACCAACAGAAATCAATTGTAGATGAGTGGGAACAGAAATTGTCGAACGATCGAGGTACCGTTTTGAATTACGTCCGCTCTTTATTGCTAGGAGGTCGACGGGCAAACAGACTTATTTTCCTTGACGGGCCTGGTGGCTACGGGAAAACATTATTGATTCGCGTCATTCTTGCCTATGTTCGAAGCCAAAATCAGGTTGCTATTGCTGTCGCTAGCTCTGGCATCGCCTCTGGCAATATGCCGGGAGGTACGACAGCACACAGCATGTTCAGACTTCCACTTGACCTCGGGGACGGCACGGGATACTGGAGCTTGACTAACGGATCTCAGCGAGCAGAACTGATCAGAGCCGCACAGCTTATAGTTTTTGATGAGGCACCGATGGCTCATCGCTACATTTTTGAGATTCTCGACAGATCTCTGCGAGACCTCATGAATTCGCCTGAACCATTCGGTAACAAGATCCTAATCTGTTCTGGAGATTTCCGTCAGATCGCACCCGTTGTTGCCAGAGCACGTACGCCAGCTGATATTGCCTGTGTATCTCTCCGTGCGTCCCATCTTTGGCCAAGTTTCAAGCTATTTTCTCTTTCAACACCTCACCGGACCGGTAGTTCCACCGCATACTCCGAATTTCTGCTTGGAGTAGGCGATGGAACTATTAGTACTGTTGTATTTGATGAAGACAGGCACACTTGCAACCTGATTCCACTGCCTGGACTAAGATATGTTACTTCTCTGCCCGACCTCATTACATTTGTTTTTCCCGATTACGTCCTGAATGACCCCGATCTCACGGCTAGGCGAGCGATACTTTCCACCATGAACGCTAACGTCCAGAATATTAATGCCGTTGTTCGTAATTTAGCAAGTGGCACCGTACACGAATTGAGGAGCGTGGACACAGTGGACAAAGAAACCGATGACGGCTTGGAGGTTGATGATCAATTGTTGAATCAGGCTACCAGCAAAGGTGTGCCGGACCATGTCTTGAGACTAAAGATCGGCTCAGTTTGTCTTATCATGAGGAATTTGAATATCGATAGCGGACTTGTGAACGGTACCAAGGTGATTGTTACGGCGATCAGTCCTCGCCTAATTACTGCTAGACTTCCCGGAAAAACTGATCCTATTTGTATTCCAAGGATACAATTTGTTTTCCCGTTTGTCGAGGGGTCGCCGCTTCGCGTCCGCAGACTTCAATTTCCCCTCATGTTGGCCTACTCTATGACTGGCCACAAAAGCCAAGGCCAGACGATTGATCGTGTTGGAGTCGACCTACGTAGTGATTGTTTCACGCATGGTCAATTATACGTCCTCCTTAGTAGGGTCAGACATCCTGACGACATTGCGGTTCTTGTCCGACCTGAAAGAGTTCGCGAAGGAGTAGCTCATACAAAGAACATTGTGTATGGCGAACTCCTTCATTAATACCAACTTTGACGTTAGCAGTAGGCTAGGGGATCTGCTTTACCAAAACTCCCCGTCGTGATTTGACATCTATGGCAGTACGATAGGGGGTCTGCCTGAAAAAAAGTCCCCGATATTTTGTGTGTTTTGTGTGTTTTTGTGTGTTTTGTGTGTTTTTATGTGTTTCGTGTTACTGTTTGTGGTTCCGACGTTTCCTGGCCTCCTCGTGGCGGAACTGGATATGCCATTATATATTTGCATCATGGCTAACTGACAGGGAAACAAGTATTTTTAATTATAATTCACTACAATCTTTACAAATATCTTTACGATATCCTATTGCTATTATTAAAAAAATATTGCTAAAATTCTACCAAAAATATAAAATGTTACTACAATCTGTTTATGCTATACAATGTATGTCTAACTTTTGTTTATATAAATAATTGTATATATGGTTCCGACGTTTCCTGGCCTCCCCGTGGCGGAACTGGATATGCCATACAGTTTGTGGCTAACTGACAGGGAAACAAAAATAGCTTAATCTATTTTCATAAATATATACATGGATATTTACTATTAACTATTTACTTTAAACAATACTTTACTATTATCAACTTATTAACTTATTAATCTACTCTAATATATTCGTGAAATATTTATTACTTTATTATTAAGTTTCGATATTACAACCCTAATTACCGTTATATTATCATTTAGTTTGAACAAAAACTCAGTGGAAAAAATACCTTACTATCATATGATCTTACTGCATAAAAATAGATTTTTGTTATTAAGAAAGAGGGGTTTTGAATTGGAGCTCGGGATTGACTTACCAACCTCCTCTCTGGATATTCGACACAGTTGATGACTAACTGATAAAGAAACTAATATGACTTGATCGGATTCCATTACCGCATGTTAAAGTATATAACAGCCTCGGAACAATTACTTTAGACCCTACCACTTTGAATATACCGTACTTTCCATTATTATACAATAACCGCAATTCTTTTTTTATTATAACTTTTATTGGTTTTAAAGGTAAACCTGCAATCCCTGCTGCCTTATTTTATTCACTTTTTTAGTGAGATAAATTTTACTTCTTTATTATGATGGCACTGTAAACGAATATTTTAACTAATGACGACTAACAGCTAGGGGGCCTGGGGGCGGAGCCCCCAGCGAGCCAAAGGCGAGTCTAAATAACTATACAGCCCGATGTGTAACTGACTGACAGGGGATACAAATTCTAAACCACTTCTAGATGAGCTAGAGACTTGAAATTTTCGGCGTTTTGTAGGTCTAGTGCCCAAACCCTCGGGAAAATTCTCAAAAGTCGCATTTTTTTATTTTAACCCCCCCTTATTTAAGAATTTCCCCCCCAATGCTATTCTTATGGGAAATAACATTGAAAAATGCCGACTTTGGTATGCTCATCTGAACCACTTAGAAACGTGCTAGAGACTTCAAATTTGCGTAGTATTGTAGTATGGGATCTTACATTACCGGTGAAATTCCCAAAAGTCCCATTTTCAAATTTTAACCCCCCCAAAAAGTCAAAATGGCGGACCTCTGAAAACGAAAAAACACTTTTTTTTCAACCGGATGTAGCTCGAAAACGGTAAGAGATAGAAAAGATTTGAAAGTATATCCAGGAACAGGAATTAAATTTTCTACAAAACCCTCTTTGGCGTTTTCCAAAAATCGCACTCCTTCAGCTTAAAAAACCACCCTACTTTCAAAATTTGGTAAATTTTTATTAAATTTTTACCGGTTTTCGTCATTTTTTCATACTTAAATAATTTTTTTCCGCAAATATTATTATTGCTTTGTATTCTCCTTACTTTACTTTAAATTTCACTCATGAATTGTTTTTTCGTAACTTTACTGCTTGACCCCCAAAACTTAATTTTAATCTCAAAATTTGAAGGTTTTTTGCCACTTTTACGAGCCCCATGTTATTCTTATGGAGAATAAGATTGGAATTTAATGACTTTGGTATGGTCATACGAATCGTTTGGAAACGTGCTACTGACTTGTAATTTGGTAGTATTGTAGTAAGGGATCATAAGCTAATGGTGAAATTCCCAAAAGTCCCATTTTCAAATTTTAACCCCCCCAAAAATCCAAAATGGCGGACCTCTGAAAAAGAAAAAAACACGTTTTTTTAAAACCGGATGTAGCTCGAAAACTGTGTGAGCTAGAAATGATTTGAAAGGATCTTAGCGAAAGAAAATTAAATTTCCTACAAAACCCTCTTCGGCGTTTTCCCAAAATCGCACTCCTTCGGCTTCAAAAAACGCCCTACTTTCAAAATTTGGTAAATTTCTTTCAACTTTTTACCGGTTTTTGCTATTTTTCATACTTAAATCGTTTCTTTTGACTTAAAATGTCAATTTTGAAAAGGGCGCAAGATCAACAAATCACGTTTACCCATTTCTAGATTAACTGGATATCTGAAATTAGGCATGATTGTTGATCTTGCGCCCTTTTCAAAATTGACATTTTACAAATATAACTCCCCCCCCCACGAAAATTAGAATCCCCCCAATGTTATTCCTACAGGTGCATCGGTCTAAATCAATTTTACCCACTTCTAGATTAGCTAAAGATCTGAAATTTGGCTCAATTGCAGGTCTTGCGCCATGGCCCATTTCTTTTTATCCCCAACCAAAAAAGGGGGCCTGGGGGCGGAGCCCCCAGCGAGCCAAAGGCGAGTCAATACTATTATATTTTTCGTTTGCAACCATTTGCTTATTGCATGAAATATTTGCCCAAAATTCCTTATAGTGAGGTTTAAGTTGTATACTTTTATCTGCAACCTGCCCTGTACAATCTCCTGGATACTTATAACCAACATAATGACAGACTCCAGAAATCCTTCTAACCTCAGTTTAAGATAATCCCAAACTTCCCTCTCAGCTATCTTCTAAATAGTTTTCCCAAAAGTGTTATAATTTTTTTGTTTGTGTATAGTATAGTATCATAGTGCCCTTTTTTTCAGTGGCCATAGTTGGCAACTCTGAAGATAACTCCAGTTATGAACTTGAACTGACATTTCTCTCCTACTCCCTGAAGGAATGGGATGAAATATCAGTGTTATCTTTTCTTTTCTTTTATTGTGTATCTATTTTCCCCCTAGACTCTAATTTTCTTAGGTGAAATAGCTAAACTCTATACAAATTTTCAAAAAAATTCCTTGCTAGCCAATTAATTGGCTTTCCTTGAAAAATATACTGTCATTCAAATAAGTGAGGTTTTATCACTTTAGTCCGCATATTTTACCGACAAATTTGTTTCAGATGAGAGAACCCAGTGTGTTCAAAGTCGATACTTTTTAAGTATCGCAGAAAACGTTGTTCCTGGTACATTTGTGATGACAACAGCTGTGGAAGATCGTGATACTATTCCAAATGTCACATTCCACCTCATCGGTGATAATGCCGACCACTTTTATCTTCACAAAGATAAAGGTATAATGATCGAACCAATTACAGTAGTTTAAACCCTCATGCTGTAAAAATTACAGTTCAAAAGTTTTAAGTTATTAAAATTTTTTTCATTTTATTTATAAAATATCATTTACTCCACTTACTCATTATTTAGGGTTTTTGACAATCTAATTGGAGAAAAGTATGTGTGGAGAAAAGATTGGTAATACCATTTATTTACATAGGAGAGCTCAAGACTAGCAAGCAGTTGGACAGGGAGACTGTACCACAGTACTGGCTGCAAGTGTTGGTGCAAGATGTTCATGTACCAGAGTGGACTTGTGTGTCCCATCTACACATAACACTCAACGACATCAATGACAACGCTCCAATGTTCCATACGGGAGGTCAACAAGTAGCAGTCAGTGAAGACTCTGGCACAGGCACTTTTGTCACCAAGATGACTGCTCTTGATCCTGATAAAGGTAACAAAACAAAAACAATTTAAAGTATATTTTGTTTTGTGTATTGTATTCGGTATGCTTGTATATAGTTTTGTGTTGTTATCAAATAGGTCTTTGAGTGATGATTGTGTCATTGAATAAGCTAAACTAGAGGCTGATATAACAGCTATCTATCTTTAACTATCTTTATTCAACTCAGTTGAAGATGGTCATGGATGTAACTGATGTAATTAATCCTGTACATAGAGCAAAAGGGCCAGGGTTTTCAGGATTTTTTGTAAGGATAGCAGTCTTACTTGAATGGGAAAGAGTCCAAACTGACACAAGAGACACAAAATATTAGAATATTTCACTGTCAATGCAAAATTTTCAACTAAGGAAGAAAGGGTTTTCTTCAGATTTAAAGTTTTCAGTATTCAGTCGAAGATGGATAGCTGTTACGCATCCGAAACGTCGGCCACCAGTTTAGCTTATTCAACGATAACAGTTACCACCTGGAGACCTAGATTTGACAACCTACAGTGCCCGTGTGGAAGCCTATCAACCAGATTTTTTTATGTTGTTTGGAATAGTTTTTGTATAAAAGAGTCTGTGGACAATACTTTTTACTTGTCAGGTCATGTGACTTTTGGGTTAACAAAATTGGATTACTTTTGTAAAGTATTATTTTTAAAGTTCTGTTGTTTTCTTTTCTCTCCTGAATGAGTTGAAATTGTGAACGCCTCCAACAGGACTGTATTTGGATTTATGATAGTATAATAAACATTTGTGATTGTTTAAAGTTAACACTTTATTTTTGTTACAAAAGTAAAACAAGCAAAGCAAAACATATATAGTAATTTCATAACACAACATGTACAGCTACAATGCAGAAGAAACAGTCTGTACGAAGGTTTGGTCACCATTATATTAATCTTTTTCCAACTTTTAGGGGTTAACCGCAAGACTCGCTACTATTTAGTCAACTCTGGCGAGAGCCACTTTGAAGTGGAGAAGGACACAGCTATTGTGCGTCTAGCGAAGCCACTAGATCGGGAAGTACAGTCGATGTTTACGTTGATCATCAAGGTTGTGGATTCTGGTGAGTTTATTACCAGTTAGCCGTAAATTAAATAAACATATAAAATAGTCCTATGGGTCAAGACAAGCCCATCTCGATGCTATAAGAATTCTTTGGGTTTTTTTGGTATAATTTAAGTAAAGATGATAAATAAAGGAGGTAAATGGACTTGAAACTTTAACTTGAGGACTGTCAAGTCAGTTTTCAGATGGTAAGTGTTTATGATTAATTATACACACTCTTATGACATTTCATATGATTGAATCACAAGTTCTTAGTTGAACATGAAACATTAAATATTTTGTACAATTTAACTTTTCTTATCGTAATGTTTGTAGGCATGCCGCAATTGTGGACTCTGACGACTCTTCAGGTAATGGTTCTCGATGTTAACGACAACCCGCCAGAGTTTGTATCCCGAGCGTATGTTGTCGCTGTAGCCGAGAACGCATCACTTGCAACGGAAGTGATTAAAGTGGAAGCGCTTTCCAAAGACACCGGAGTCAACGCTCAGGTCATTTACACTATCATCGAAGGGAATCAACATGGTCGCTTCAACCTGCATCCAGTCACAGGTAACTAAAAGCTAACTTGTGTTCAAAGTAAACGCTCTAATTCCACGATTTTGATTTATGAAATGAAGTTAAGAGAAGTCCCCCACGGGACTAAATATCATTTGTTTTATGTGTCTTCTGAGAGTTGTATAACCTATGACTTTAATATGGTAAGCTAGTTGCTATCCTCTCAATCTAAAAGCTCACTTAGTGGGGTACACACGGCATCAAATATTACTAGACAATTTGTCTTTTGTTTTATTTTGTTTAGTTCTGCTAGATGGTTCAGTTTCAGCTGGTTTATTAAAATTGCAGCAATTATTCGTTGCTCATAAAAAATGAAATTACTAAACTAATCTCATTTGGCTCCAATCGCCGTCCTACCTCACCAGCTCACACGCACCAATGCTGTTTTGCTTAAATGTTCTAAATTTGTGTTTTTTGAGTATCCGCTTGTTTTTTCTCATCTAGTTCCATTACATGGATATGATACATTTGACAAAATAACATTGTCATAACCTGTAAATTGTGGCATACTTCCACAAAATCAAAATCATGTATCACCACAAAAAAATTTCCACAAAATTATGTATTATCTTGGTCAGAATCATTTCACGACCACACTTTTTACCAATTAATTTAACACCAAATAAACTTTTGTAAATAGATTTGAGAGAGAACGTTCTAAACCCAGGTTAGAAAGAAATAAACTTTTATTTTGCTTAAAAAATATACATCTTTCAATTGGTGCTAACTGTTCTTTTTCTGTTGCTAGTAATTGATGGATTGCCAATGTTATAATGCATATGTGTACTTGTATGTTTGTGTAGGAGTTATATCCGTGGCCCAAGCCTTAGACTACGAGCACACCAGATCGTATTTACTGTCCGTGCTAGCGACAGATCAAGGAGTTCCTCCATTGAGCAGCCAAACTGTGGTCAACATCACCGTACTAGACACCAACGACAACCAGCCGACCTTCTCACAAAACTCATACTCCGTTCAGATACAGGAGGATATAGACATCGGGGAAATCATTCTTAAGGTGAGATGTACCAAATTATATCTATCGTTTATTATAAATTTGTGAATTATTTGTACTTTGGTTTTTGTTGGACGTAAAAGACAGGTTAGAAAGTAGTTTTTTAGTGTGTGGAGGCGCGTGATTGAATATTTCCAATTCAAACTCAAAACTATGACCAAATGTTTGGCACGGCTACTTTAGTAAATGGGCTCGTAGGGCCCAGCTCCAGGGTCACTTTAGTTTTTAGGTTTGTTTTAAGACGCAAAAAAAAATCCCCAGCAATAAAGGGGCAAAGAGGGCTGCAATTCTCATAGCTCGTCACATGCATACTGCAGGCCTGGGAGAAGGTTAATATGTTTCACTAATACATTATTGAATTTAATTGTTGTAGATTAATAATATTTGCTATACAGAGCGGATAAAATCCTCAGATAGTTAAATATTTGAAGGAATATATATAGATCAAATGGCAGCTGTTCAAATAATTTTCTAATTCCAACATGATAAATTATTTTCAAATTCATGAAATTCAAAGATGAATGGCTGCCATTTTTGACTCAATGTGCATATCAACGTAATATACTTGTACTTAACATTTTCTCCTGACTGGTAGCGGGCTGTCCCCCTAAAGAGGTAGCACAAATTACTGAATAATATGTTAAAATAACTTTTATGCCCAGTTACTTAGTTAAAATTTTTTAGCTCTATTATATAACTTTGAAGTAGTTGTCCCAGGACTTTTTCCCACTCTGTATTGTATCACAGTGGAAACCCACCACCACCTTATTTCAGTTAATGGTGCAATGACACCATTTTGACATGGTTGTTAGTTAAATATTCTTAAATTACATAACGAAATTGGCAATATTATATAACACATATATTCTTACCAACACATTAAATTATTCTTGTTGCTACCTGTCAACTATTTACTTGTGTTTTTGTTTTTAGGTAGAAGCTACGGATGCTGACAGTGGAGCCAATGCTCGCGTGGGATACAAACTTGAGGCCGGAGATCCCCATCGTCAGTTTAGCCTAGATTTCACCACTGGAGAGCTCACAGTAGCCAAGACTCTGGACCGAGAAACTGTAAGAGACTTTTGAGCAGACTTTTTGTAAATCATTACAATTTTCAATTTAGGTAGGGACGATATCTAGGTTCATATTTGAATCCAAATAAGAGAAGAAAAGGAGTGAGATGATCTGTATAGCTTTGTTACTGACAAGGATCAGCTGATTTTGTTGTCAGGACCAATTATCAAAATAATCAATGACAGCTAGGTTCAGTTCAGTAGGCATGAAAAAGCTACTGACTTATCTCAGGATCGAACCAGCAATCTTTTGAATGTCAGGCAAGCACTAGTCACTCAGTTGTTAGCAACTATTATCTGTTTCCCTACAACATCACCTGAGTTGATAGTAATTGGTTCTCACACTTGTTTGTGCAGATATCATCGTACATATTGACAGTTCGAGCTGTCGACAGCGGCGTTCCTCCTCTCAGCTCGACTGTGGTGGTTGGCGTGTTGATATTGGACGTCAACGACAACACACCGTCTTTCAGTAACGACAACTACACCTTCTTTGTACAGGTTGGTTCTAGTTGAATACTAATGATGTTTTTCAAATGCACCAGTTTAAAAACTATCATCATTTAAGATTTCTATTCAACAAATGAATTTAAAAATTCCAATTAAATTCTTTACCTTACACACAGAATGTTATTGTGCTCTTTAAGGCTAGGTGCACACGAGCGATTATTTCATCGGCTAATCTGTGAATCATGTATTAGAATGGAAGCGCGCACACAGGCGATTGAGGATTGCACAGGTTTTAAAATCTGCATTTTGCTGCAGATTCGTAAGCGAGGCGATTGTCACCCGGAAATCTGTAACGTACAGGTTGTTATCAGTCCGCGCGCGGGGTCGACTAAAAAATCGGCCAGTCGCTCGTTGTTCTCCTCAGAAGTCGGTAAGGATAGCTACGCACTCGAAAACATCCATTTTTCAACTAAAAAATCGCCACATGTGCGCCAAATTTATTTTTTATTTATTTATCAAGGGCGATTTATTTTTGGCTGATTTTTTTATCGGCCGATCAAAAAATCTATCATGTGCGCAAGGCCTAATAGAACAAGTTGTTACGGACCATTCTATTTCGATTTACAATCTGATTGTAATGATAGTTTTTTTAAAGCATAGTTGAGATTAAATTAGTTGTGAACTGATTAGTTACATGTATGTTATGATTAGTCTATGATGAATTTTTGGTTGGTGAAATATCCTTAAAAGTTTATTTTGAAACATGATAGCTGAAGAATGCGTGACAGCCAAGTGATGTCATCTGTTATCTATTAGAACCACAGTAGAAAAAATTCTTGAGAAAAAATTAGAAACCATTGTAAATTGACTACTATTCTTAATGAATGTGTAAATAAAGATTATTTGTCTGTCTTGTCTATTGTCAGTAATAGGTCAAGCATTGGGGATGAGCATCGATAAATCAACCATCGATAATCAATGTTTTTTCATTTAGATTTTTGTCTGCTTTCTGCCTCAGCTAAATAACCTAGCTACTATAACGAACGGTCTAGATTGACAGTCATGAACAAATAAATAGATTTTTCGCAGCATTTAGAACTAGCATCTCAACAGTGTAGATAGTTATCTAACTCTCCCTCCTTACTAAGCATGTTTTTTTGTTAAACTTTAAAACCCTTAATTCAAATTAGAGATTGTGATCACTTACAGCAAGTTTACTCTGAATCAGGGAAAGCTTTTGTTTTGTGTTATATCATCATCTCCAACAACATCCAAAAAACATTTGGATAGGCAAAATTTTAATACTTGTACCGTTCTACTTTAATTTCTAGGAGGACAAGATGGCTGGCTGGCCAGTAGGGCAGTTGGTGGTCTCTGACTCTGATGCGTTTCCCAACGGAGCTCCGTTCACATACACCATAATCTCCGGAAACCCCGACCAAGAGTTCCGTGTTCACTCTGACGGAACTTTATATACAGCTGCAAGACTCAACACTCGATTGCGGACTGTTTATTATCTCCAAGTACGAGCAACTGATAGTGGCTTTCCTCCCCTACACAAGGACACTTGGGTTACTGTTAAGGTAAATGCACAATTTTTAAACAATGTTTAACAGTGGGGGACTTTTTTAAAGGATTTTTTCATTGATGTATTTTTTTAGGTTATTTCGTTATATGTACGTTGCGGAATATGTATTTCAACACAATAAACCAAAACAGAAGAAACAAAATTTGTGCCCTCCTCCTCTACACTATATTTGAAAAGAAACTAAACAGGGGTTGTATGCAATCACACTACTTATACCTTATATTTTCTTTTGTTTTTACTTTGTGACTCAATTACTCATGTTAACACAGAATACTTAATTCTACTTAGCCTAATTACCACGTTTCGTTTAGTTCTCGTTTTGGAGTTTGGAGTTGGAAGCCATCTTACCAACAGAAGTCCAAGTTGATATATAGATTAAACTGCTATTTTTTAGAAAGATTTTCGGGATATTTATACATAATATTGTGACTAACTTTTGTTTAATATCTTACTGGATATGAACATTTTAAACACCCAGATGTTCTAAAAATCTACAAAGAGGATCAGCAACTCGTACTGGTTACATTTGATTGATCAACATTGGCTATGGTATCTACCAGGCTACAAAACACTACAGGAGGAGATACTGAAGGTTCGTCTTTTGGAGTTAGACACGGCAATGGACCTCACGTTTCTCACGAGCTAACACCCTCTGCTCATCTCTCCAGCCACAATCCATCGCAACAATATGTATCTAATACTTATTCTTGGATCTTCCCAGTGACTGTATGGAGAAGATCTTTGGCTACCTGGGCTATAAGCAGGTGTCTCATTTGAAATCAATGTGTAAACAAATGGACCGCATCTGACTTTCCAGAAACTGCAAATTTGTCACCGCTTCCAAGATATCAAGTCGCTACCACCCCCTGGCGTGTGAGAGTGACATAATAGAGACGCTCCACATGCGGCTTACTTTACTGCAGATGTCCTTCGGGAAGCATATCAAGCAAAAACATGTTTGCTTTTTTGTTGGCGAGATACTAGATAAAGATAACCGTATCTTTCATTACATCAAGGTAATCCCCAAGTTGGCTCGCCCTTATAAAGTAACGGACAAGCTTTTTGACTTGTCCACGATGGCAATGGAATACTTCAAGGAGCGTATTGAGCCAACGCTCCCAGAAATTGCGTTCTTTGGTACTGATTTTCTGGATTTCAGCGAGCAACAAGTATAGGAGTTTAGGTAACGTGAGGTCCATTGCCGTGTCTAATTCCACGAGATGAACCTTCAGTATCTCCTCCTGTAGTGCTTTGTAGTCTGGTAGATACCATAGTGAATATTGATCAATCAAATGTAACCAGTACGAGTTGCTGATCCTCTTTGTAGATATTTAGAACACCTGGGTGTTAAAAATGTTTATACCCAATAAGATCTTATTATTAAACGTAAACAAAAGTTAAAGTTAGTCACAATATTATGTACTAGCTGTAACCCGCGGGCTTTGCCCCGTTTAACTTCTTAATTTTCAAGATTATCTCGTTCGCATTGCTCAATCACGTCCTGGTTGAAGTTTGTTCGCTATGCTCACTCACCTTTAGGTTGGAGCTCGTTCGCTACGCTCACTCACCTTTAGGTTGGAGCTTGTTCGCTACGCTCACTCACCTTTAGTTTGAGCTCGTTCGCTGTGCTCACTTGCCTTCAGGTTAGCTCGTTCGCTACGCTAACTCGCCTCCAGGTTGAAGTTCGTTCGCTACGCTCACTCACCTTTTGGTTGCAAATTAGCTGTTGTCATAAATGTAAAAGAAATAATAGTGCTGCACCCTGTTAGTAATTTTTGTAACTTTAATGCTATTGAACATCACAGAACAGAACCAACTTGTTTAATTGAAACAGCTGTTAAGATTCAATAATTTCATTTCTCATAAGGTTAACATGGGAAACTCCAGAGCCACTGGGGCGGAGCCCGAAAGGATTTTTGAAATAAGAATATGCCTATATGTTAATCGGGAATGTGAGCTATCATCATGCCAAATTTCAGCCCAATCCGACCAGTATTTTTCGCGTTCACTTGTCACAAACATACATCCATACATCCATACATCTAAACTTTCTCATTTATAATATTAGTAGGATAACTATCCCGAAATCTTTCTCAAAAATAGCAGTTTAAACTATACATCAACTTGGACTTCAGTTGGTAAGATGGCTTCCAACTCCAAACTCCAACACGAGAACTAAACGAACGTGGTAATTAGGCTAAGTAGAATTAAGTACAATTAAGTATTCTGTGTTAACATGAGTAATTGAGTCACAAAGTAAAATCAAGAGAGAATAAAAGGTATAAGTAAGTAAAATCATCCACGTATATTATGATAGATTTATGGTATTAAGGCGCAATACAATTGTGCCACGAGAAGTAGATAGCAGCGCACACTGCAATCCATATGTTTGAATAAAACGCAGAATTCATAGCATGGCAGAAGAGTTCACATATTCTTTATTTAGAAAGGATAATTTAAATGTTTATTATGTGTATACTTGCATGCGTTCAAACAAACTACAAAAAAAAAAAAAAAAATACAAATAAATAAATATAATTGTATTGCTGAGCGACAGAGAAGGAAATGGACTTGTAACCAACAATAGCAAACTCCGGCCACGAGATGATAACACCAATTCCACCTTCTTTATCAGCCCTAACATCTGTTCCATTCAAACCTCTTCTTCGGTCCTACATAAACAAAATACTGTTTGAAATGGTTGCATTCCTAGGCAAACTTGTCCATTAATATTTTTCTGGTATTTATCGCCTAATAGCTTAGCCTCACAAGCCACCTCTTGGGAATTCTTTATTTACATAGCGTGGAATATCTTAAATCTTGAGTCAAGTTTTTTATAGACCTCTCTTCTTTTGTCTAGCTCTCCTATCCTTGCCATATACAGGTTCTTCTTTGCCTGCAAGTCTTAACGCTCTTGACTCGTAGTCATCAAATGACTCACTTTTTTCATTTAAAAACGATGATAGTGTTTCAAGTTTCTTTGTAGCACCAAACAGGTCTAGGTCTTGTCCACCCTTTCAAGAAGCTCATCCCAGATCACAGTTAGCATCGTGGTTTGGAAATTACCAAGAGTTTTTGAAAACCTGGCGGCTGAGACTCTTGTTGCTGGTGTCTGTGTCTTGTCTGCATTTAACTCTTCAAGAGCATCTTTCAATTCATGTTTTTTTATGATCAGAGCTCGAAGTGCGTCTGCTCTGGCAGATCATCTTGTGTCACTCAATAGTTTTATCAAAACCCTTCTTTTATCTTTTTTCGAGTTTCCTTCATTGCTCTTTTCAACGTGATGTTTTCAAACGTTCCATCTGTGGGTGGATGCCGAGAAAAACCCATACAGTCCTTGTACAAATGAAAAAAATATGGTTGCTTCTGGACATGCCTTCTCGGCAGCAAAACGCCCTGCTAAGTTTAGTGAGTGAGCTGCACATGGTACATAGTCAGCAAGATCATTTTTACTTTTAACCCTTGCCTGGAGACCTGAGTATAATATGCCCGACATGTTGGACGCATTGTCGTAGCTTTGCCCCCGTAGCAACCACAGTGTTGGAGGAGCCGAGGGTGAGCTGTGTAGCTGGCACTGGCAGTCTGATCCGTAGCGCCATCACTCATGTAAAAAAAAAATGTTTCCAATTTTTTGGCGCCCCCCCAAAAAGGCCAATTGCCTCGCGCCCTAGGCACGTGCTTATTCGGTAAATCGGCCCTGAATTAATGTATAGTGAACAGAGAAATAATTATATAACTGGATTTATTCTGATTCGTAAAAGTAACTAGATGTAGCAAACGTGAATTCAAATATTAATTGCATAAATTTGGAATATTAATCACCAGACCAAGACCATTTGGTAAACCTAATAAATTACATAATTAATTAATAATTTGCCCTAGCCTACACCCTTCCTCAACCCCTACTAAATTATCTACTCATCCGACACGTAGAAGTCCTGACACTGGCACTCGCAACACTACACTGTTCCCGGTCGTCTCTTTGTGCAGGTGCCTCCTTCGGTGAACCTGCGTGCGCAACTACCCTAGTTGCGTCACATGACTTTACGCGTTGCGTTTGTGTAGTTGTAGCGGGTCGCTACACTACTATGAGGATTTGTGACTCTAGCGCTTTACACGTCAGCTCTAACTGGTCAGATCCTGCAAACTTTTTGATTTTCAGTGGGTTAGCTGTACGGTAAGGCTACCTCGCAGTGATATGTTGTGACTTGTTACAATCATCAAACCATCTTAAAAGGTTAAGGGAAGGTACATAAATCTTACCTGTAGAGTATTCTGGCTTTAGAACAGACAACAGTTATACAAAAATGAAGAAGTTTATTACAATAAAACATTCACAAATGATATCCCTAACTTTTTTTGCAATTTGCACATGGAGGGGGGCATAACTTTTTCACCTTTTCTCATCAACTTACTTTAAGGTTCTAACTCTGAGCATTCCAAACATTGGGAAACACCAGGTGAGACTAAAGCCTGTGTCACACTACGCTACTTTACTAGCAGCTAGCGAAATAGCAGCTACTAAGTAGCCAATGTGACATAGGCAGTAGCAGCTACTAAGAGTAGCGCGCTAGTGAAATTTTACTAGCATGGAAAGTTGAACATGTCCAACTTTCCGTGCTACTAAACTGCGCTAGTGAGTCACGTGACCAACTAGCAGCTATCAAGTAGCGACTGTCGCCCAGTGTGACAGCTTCAATAGCAGACTAGCGGCTACTTGCACCACGTGCTGTCTGCCTGATTTGTTTATTCTCGTTCATTTTGAATAATTTCTGAAGTAATCATGAGTGATCCGAAGTGGGCTGGGGGAGATGTGATTAATTTTTTGAACCTGTATAGAAAATATCCGCGTCTTTGGGACATAACCTCTCTTGAGCTAAACTAGTAGTAGCAGCTAGTGAATAGACGCTACCAAAATAAGTGTGACAGGAAAAGTAGCTGCTATTTCAGTAGCTGCTACTAGGTAGCTGCTAGTAAGTAGCCAAGTGTGACACAGGCTTAATTAATGTTTTAGCTGACCAGATTCATCTCTTTTCTGAGTGAAGTATTGACCAACTGATAAAAATATACTGCATCAACACATTCTAGTTTCAAGTTTAAAGGCAATTCACTGTGTTTTTAATAATTGAGAATTATATCTTTCGACTTAATCAAAGATAGCAAAACGTACAATGATTTTATGTCCCTAGGTAATTGAAGAGTCACGCTTCCCTCCGGAATTGTCTCCGCTGGAAGTGTTCATCATTGTCTACCAGGAGCGTTGGCCGGGCGGAGAGATCGGTCACATCAAAGCCTCGGACAAGGACCCGTACGACATGTTGGTGTTTGGTTTGCAAACCACCGAGGACTTGTTTGCTATCGAGCCTCGTCAAGGTGTTATTTCTGTTGGGCCGCACCTCACGGCTGGTAGATACAGACTCAACGTCTCCGCTACCGACGGAAAGTTTACAGTTCACACAACAGTGACTGTAATCGCTGTGCCACTTTGGGACGACATGTTGCAGAATAGTGTCAGCATCAGGTAAACGTCGAGGCAACATATCAACAAATAATAATAATAGGATAATATCAAACAATAACAATAATATCGACCCTGACCAGTTAATTTGAAATACATCATGTTTAAGTCTCTATAGCCTACAATATAACTAAGAAAATCTGCCTCAAATAATTATTGCCAATCATCAAATATTTTTGAGGTGGCAAGGCACATCTATTTGTGTATTTTAATCAGAAAACGTAAGGTTAGTGTAGATTCTAGTAGAATAGAGTAAGATGATCTGTGTAGCTTTGTTACTGACTGAGATCATCTGTTTCATTAGTCAGGATCATTTATTAAAATGACCAAGAACAGCTGGGTTAAGTTTTGAACCATTAAAAAACTACCGAGTTTCTCAGGACCTTCTCATAACTAGGCGAGCACTATGACCACTCAGCTAACCAGATATGCGATTCATTAGTGTTTTATATTCTTTACTCCCGCACTTTTGGATTCTCACCAAAGGATTTTAATTTATTTTCCACTCTACAAAGGTTATAATAGTACTGTTTGTGTAGATTGCGCAGTATGACAGCTCATCACTTTGTGCTTCGCCAATGGAAGAGCTTGGTCCAGCTGCTGGAGACGGCTCTCATGAGACAAGTAACTCTCACGAGTATACAAGCTGTTTCTCACGGAGACCTTGATGTATTACTCACCATTGCTGGGGTAAAAACATCATATAGTACTCCCACATTAGAATAAAATCCTTCCTTCATTATGCTAGAACGATTGCAATATCTGCTCAATAGATTCCTTTCTCGAGTCTTTAAATATTGTTATTATTCAAAAAAGAGCTATTAGTTGCCAGAGTCTCTCATAGATCAGTTTTAAGCCTAGCTCTTGTCTTGGTTAAAAGTCATGTTTACACATTCATGGAAATCAACATCATCCTGGTAACAGAAGATTCAAAAACATAAAACCGGTCGAATAGACTTTCATTATCCTGAAAAATTTCCTTTTGGGAAGACATTTCGCTCATTAGAAGAATTGTAAGATGTGTGTATTTGAAATGCCTGCTACTCCTCCCATAAGTTTTTATAGATTATTCAATTTGTTTTGTGTATATTAGAATTAATTACAAATCACCTGTCAAGATATTAGATCAAAGGTGAGGATCGTAAATTAAAAGAAAGTTCACAACATCAGATTAACTATTGTATATGAGACTATTGTAATTGTTAAAGAAATCTCAATAAAGAAATTGATTGATTGATCTACATTACTTTTAACAGGGTGTCGAGTTGGGAACACTAAACGACGCTTTACAATCAGCCGGGCTCAGTGGTGCTAACTGGACCTGCGACTGTCTCAATGGAGCCCTCTGCAGACAAAAGCTTCAAATACAACGAGATCTCGTATTCACCGTGTCCACCGACTATGTCAGTTTTGTGTGTCCGGGCCATTTACATCAGCTTTATTGTGCTTGCAATCTTGGATACGCAGGTTAGTCAAAATTGTTGTTTAGAGTTTATTATTGCAAAGAATACTTATTTCATTTTAAAGGTAAGATAGTTGAACTTTGTTGAGATACTGAAAGTTGTTATTTTTTAAATTTATCCTTGGCTGATGAAATGAAAACATTATTCGAGAAAATATTTAGTATTTCATGATCTCAGAATTTAGATTTAGATTAGATTCGGTCTCAAGATTGTAGCCTGGTTCTGTCTGAAAATAGCAATTCATTGATACTTCAAGGAATAATTCTTGTTGTTGTTGTTTTCTTGTTGTTCTTTAGCTAGGAAAATTTATTAAAGGCCCAAATTATTTGACAAGGACAGCTGGATCCAGTTTTGAACCATTAAAACCTTTTCAAGTTTTCAGGATCGAACCGGTGGTTTTCTGTTACTACCCCGCTATGTACACTCTACCGATGGAACTGTGTAGATTTGTTTGTGAACTGTAGGCATGATTGATCAAAAGAATTTCTTCTTTTACAGAATTAAATATAATAAATAAATAATTTCTAGGTGAACGCTGTGAGCAGATACTCAATGACAGCGAGTGTAGATGCCCTTCTCTGCAGATATGTGTACCTCCGACATACGTTTGTGGTCCCCTGGCTTGTCCTCCGGCACAATCTTGTCCTCCGGCCACGTCTGTAACATCAAGTCTCACTTGGGAGTTGGTGATTGCTGTCATCGTAGCAATCGCCATCATCTCCGGTTTAGTACTGGTCTTCATTCTCTATAGGTAAGGTCGAAAGAGGACAAAATCATATTTTTGTTGACAGTTGAGTATCACCTGTTACTATTATATGTTTACCCTTCATCAGGGTTGAATTCACCCTCCAATGTACTTTAACGAGCTTTTTTAAGACATTGCTACGGTTTGACGACATCTTGTCTTGACGCAACCTGATAAGAGTGGCTTGTGACAACAAATCAGAGAACTATGTCGATCTAGGGCAGCTGTTTCTGATCGTAGTGAGTGCGATAGAGACATATGTACTGTTTTCAAACTTAAAAACTATGAAAGAATTGATACTAAGAAAGGTTGTGTCCAGCAGAGTATCCAAAATTTGTAATTTACTTGATATTGAAAAACTCATTGGAAAAAAACATTTTTTAGTTATAGTTCCATTGAAAGTCCAATTTCAAAAGACATTTGGATCCAGAATTAACTCTGCTATGGATCGAACCAGTACCTTCAGGCATGAAGGCAAGCACTATAACCAATTGTGATGTCTTAGCACTAGCGGGTATCACAAGTTGTAATAAAGAGATTATTAGCTTTGCGACTATGATATTTAAGAAGTTTTGGTTTGTTGGTAAAAACTATTTATTCCTACACAGTATATGAAATGTAAGCAAGAATTTTTGTTGCAGGCGTTGTAACAGAGTCAGCCCTGGAAACAGAATTGACAAGTCTGGATTGAACCACATCATTAAACGAACTTCAAAGTTGAGCAACCTTCAAGTAACTCAGGTAAAATATGTAATTCTACCATTAAAACACTAATTTCACTAAATAACTTCTTAATATGAATATTACAAGCTATAAATTTTTCAGAAAGTAAATAAAAACATGTCTTACACATAAAATATTCACACCGAGACGGTAAACATTTTTAGCGAGACGGTAAAAATTTTGAACAATGGTAGTGATGATCAATTTTGATTAGACACTCCAATGATCATCAGACCCAATAGATGAAGAGATTCCCACGATGATTAACAATAAACACTCACTGCAAACAAAAAACAGCAAAGATACGAGCTTATGCATATATTTCTGTTCGCATTTGTATTGTAAAACAGCTGAGTTCAACAATAGAAATAAATTGTAAACAAACACATGCAGAAATGAGAGCAAGGAAAAGTAAATTTAGAGCAAGAACAAATCTGTTGATTGTTTTCCCCTTGCTCTAAGTCAAAGCTTAGGTAAAAATTAGTTTCTATAATATTACCTGTAATCCAAAATAGGTATTTTATTACTTTTTGTACACAGTGATGACAGAAATATTTTATGAAACTTTTGAAACAAAAACCTTAGAGTTTACACCAAGTTCATCAAAATATCACCAAGGGGCTTTGAAAAATTACCAAATGGCGGATTACAGCTAAACAAAGCTGTAATAAAAAAAATGTAACTAGACATTTTTGACTTTTTTGGTATATGGAATTAGGGATTCAATAGCCTTTTATGCATGTTTGTGACACACTGTTTGGTTCTTATTAGAAAGGGTCACTCTTAATTGCAATCATACATTTATTTGGTAATTTTTGTAAGGCTGTTGAACCGTTATTACTTATTTCAAAGAGACATTTTACCAAATACAATATTTGATGTCATGTTGTAGCCTTCACGACCAACCTCGTACACATGCAGCTCCAACAATGAGCTGTTTTCTGCCGTCGCTTTAAACAACGTGGAGGATAATGTTCCGCCAGACTACAGACGGAATCTCATGAGTCCTCACCACAAGATCAACAACGGTAAATTATGCTGATCCCTTAGCAAATATACAGTCTAAGCATGGTAATTGAGGCATTTGATAGATCAAAACTTATGATTATTCAAAATAAAAGCTCAATCCGTAGAGAACCTTTCAATAATTCAAAGCTTCACTGTGTATTTTAAAGCCTATACGCAGAAGGTAGGGCGATTTGAAATATGCAACACAGAATGCAAAGTTTTTGCAGAACTTTCTATTATTCGAAGGGACAGTGGTGAATCCATAGATTTTTTTAGTTATAACAGGAAACTATACATCCTGTTGGGCACAGTGGCTTTGATAAACATCAAGCCAAACGGTTAGAGTAGTAATTGAATTGTTTGTTTAGCAGTGTTTACTCATTGGAAATTACTTAAAGCCTAGGTGTTTTAGCGGCATCCCCCTGTAACTTATCAGTCAAACAAAAAGGGCTTCAATGACAACTGATTTTTTTGATGAGTGGAGTATAATTAAATATGGATATGAAACGCCGAAGAAGTATAATTATCTTGTTCTTGATAAACGTGAAACTTCAATTTTGTCCATCAAACAGGATGTCAAAGTTGTATAGTGGTGTCAAAACCTCGTAACGTGAAGATAAACAAAACATCCTTGTGCCGCTTGATGTAAAAATTACTTTCTTCTGCAATTGTGTAGATTGTCTATCCTCGTTTGGTTAAAATAAAAACAGCTAGCACAGAGGATACATTGACAAAAGACCTCACTATCTTAGATGTTTTGTTTGAAAACAGGGGATTTGTACCATTTTGTTCAGAATTTAAAGGGCTACAACATACTAAATTTTTGTCAAAATCGTTCGGGCCATTTTTGAGAAAATCCGATTTTTCCGGTTTTTTATGGGTTTTTATGGGAAAATCCCCATTAAAAATCAAAATTTCAAAAAAATGAAAAAAACGCCTGGAGATACCATGGATTAGAACCTACATACCACATTTCATCGAAATCGGACCACAGGTGTAGTCTCTAGCTCTGTACACATCCAGACACACAGACACACAGACACACAGACACACAGACACACAGACACACACAGACACACACACACAGACACACACACACAGACACACACACACAGACATCACTTCGAAAACCACTTTTTTGGGTCCAGGGGGACCCAAAACGAATATATTCACTCAAACTCGAAAATTTTGACAAAAACAATACTTTCTCCATATACTATGGTATAGGGGGAGAAAGTAAAAAGCCAGTCTTTGTTATCATATCGCAGTCTATTTATGATTTCTTATATGCATTGTATTTTTATTTTAATTCAGACAAAGTTGAATATATATTTTAATGTTTCAGATTTAAAACAAACAGCTGACATTCCATTACATCAGCTGGTGTCTGGGGATGAAGACACAAGGACTGGAGGTGGTACTATTCATATTGTCTAAACAAAGTTTTATCATACTCATGGGTGGAGTTAGAGCATTAGATGGATGCCATGGTTCCTTCAATGAGGGGGGGGGGGAGAATACTCTAGGGGAGAGGAGTATGGAATACTTCTCTGGTGAGAGAAAAGATTGAAAATGCAAGCATATCAATTGACAAATTCCTATTTAATCCACAGCACTAAAACAACCAATGAATGCTTCTCATTGGAACAGCTCAGTATAGAGGGTTCACTCACAAAAAAAAATGTATTCCTATTTATTTTAATAACCAAAGTAATAAAGGGAAATATATACAATACAATTGCACAGATTTTGGTTTGTTTTGAGTATTCTAAATTCCATGTACGAAAATAGTAATTTTCACTGCAGTAGGTAATGTATTAAACAGTCCACTTAATAGAGTCTCTAATCCCTGTTTTTTATGTATTGCAGGATACTTATGGGACTGCTCTGATTGTCTTCAAAACAATGATACATATCAAAGCAATCGAGCAGAAGTGCCAGACTCGTCAAGCTACCAAAGCAATCACAGCAATCATAGTAACCATAGCAACCACAGTAACCATAGTAACGTCAGTAACTATAGCAGTAACAGCAAAGAGAATATTCAAAATGGTAAGTGGCAGACCTGAATTACAACTGTGTACTATTGTAGTTATATATATATTTTTGGGGAGCGAGCTGAACTAATGGTAGAGTGTAGTACTTCGGTCCCTGAGGTCTTTGGTTCTAGTCCTGCCAATCACCAACGGATTTTATGTAAGTGATAATGCCACAACCCTCTCTAAAACTAGACTGAAGTAATATAGGAAACAATTTCAGGCTAAAATCTTGAGGAATGTATAGTAAAAAGTAGTAAGAAAGTAAGGTACAGAGGATACATTCATGGCACATTTAAGTGGTGTCCAGCACTAGGTGTCTAGGGCAAAGTCCAACACCACCCCCTCGCCATCATGTACTACAACACTTACGGTGGAGAAAGACAATGTGCCCTGTGCTATAGGAATTTCCACATGAATTTTATCGCTCAGGCTCTTCCTTGCATGTCACAAGTCTATTACCCACACAATATACTAGAGCTGGAAGCGCACGGTTGACCCATAAGCCAGTTTCCTCTGTACCTTCTCTGTTCTCACTGTTATTTGAGATTGAGTAAGTTATAGAAGGTAATGTTTTCTAGTTTTCCAAAACATGGATCTTTAACTGAGATATTTCTTGATGGGTAATATTATCGTCCAAAGTGCAGAATAAGATGAGAATTATTTATATTAGCAATGTACTAAACCAATTATTAAACTTTGTAACCTTTGCAGGAGATCCAGCCAGAGATTTGGCAACGCTGGACACAAAACTGAGCCGAGAGAGTCAAGTGATTCCATACGGTTTCCCAAGCACTCTGGATAACGTTTCATAGCCCACCTTAACGCTTCAAACCTGCATCTGCCTCGTACTAGAAGACTGAACCACTGTTAATTGTACAAACTATTTTCACCTCTAAAACGTATTTTATTACTTAGCAAAAGTATGATATGACGTACATTTAGCGTAGTTTATAAACTCGTATCGTAATTGATTAAGAAGAATTTGGCCATTTGAAATATTAATTTACACATAACTTTGATGTAATTAGGCCAAGACTTTTTGGGCAGTGGTGTACATTTATATATTTATCCCAGGTACATGCAAACCCCTCCATCAGGATTTTGTTCATTTCTGTGTGACTTAGAGAAAGGGTGATCTGAGAAAATTGGATCGAATGTAAAATGTCGGGGTTCAATTATTTATGGTAAAGAAGTAGATTCCTTGTTTTTCGGTGATGGAGAGTTATCTAATAGATTTTTGTGGACATTATTTGTCACAAATAGTAAAAAGCAGCAGTAAAAAGTCAGCAAGGTGTTGACATATTACTTCCAGAGCTGAGTAAGTTGTTCAGGGCCAGCCTGGCTCTGGAACACATATCACCAGCCTGGAGTGTTTCAAGGGTGGTCATCATCCCTAAACCTGGTAAGGCAAGTTACACAGATCCAAACTCTTCCCGTCTCTCTGACCTCTTTCCTGCTAAAGACTTTGAAGAAACTGGAACTGACGTAAGTAGGGGAAACAGTCCTCAGAGTCAACCCCTTACACAGCCATCAGCACGCTTACACTACGGGGGCTTTCCTTGACATCCTTTGACAACGCTTAAACCCAGAGTCGTCAATGTTGTGTTGTGGTTTCCATGAGGTGGTGTGTAGGTGGGTAGAATCTCTTCTAGAGAAAAGGGATCACATGAGGGAGTCCCCAGGGCATAGTACTTTATCCTCTCCTCTGGAACCTCGTGGTAGACGATCTAATCAGCTCTCTCAGTGACAGTGGAGTATTTGTTCTGCTGACGACATTGCGATTCTGGTAGTAGGTAAATTAAACAGCACGGTTTCCGATCTCATGAATACGGCTTTGAGGTCAGTTGGCCAGTGGTGCACAGAGGTAGGCATTTCAATTAACCCCTCTTAAGTGGCGGTCATACCCTTCACAAAGAGGGGGGACCAGAACGGCATTGGACCTTTGAGAATACAAGGCTCAGTGCTTGCACTGCAGCATCAGTTGAAGTGCCTGGGGTTGGTACTGGACTGAAAGCTGCATGGGGACCACAAGTCCAAAAGGCCATTGCCCAAGGTAATCAATCATGGTATGCAGGCGAATAGTGGGAGGGAGCTGGGAACTCAAGTCGGGGGTTATGTCTGTTCGTTTTTGTGGCAAGGCCCTCCTGTCACACAGATCAATTGTGTGGTTGCCCAAGATGCACTCGGAGTAGGTGGTGAGAGATCTAGCTGCCATCCAAAGACTTGCATGTCTCATCATCACTGGCACGATGAGCAGCTGTCCGGGAGCTTCACTGGACTGTCTTCTCAACCTTACTCCAATTGACCTGCATGTCAAGGTCACTGCGAGGAGGACTGCCTACAGACTCCAGTGTGAAAAACCTTTGGTTGGATGTTGGAGGATGCCGAGGTCACTCTCGGATTACTCAGACGGTAAGAGGGGAGGTACTGGACATGCCCTTGAACCACATGCCGATTCGATTCTTCTTCGCCAAGCCATTCACCATCTTTCTTTCATCCAGGGATGAGTGGCTGTCAGGAGGGAATCCTCTTCCACAGGGTGACCTTGAATGGTATACGGTTGGTTCAAAGGTAAGAAGTAGGATAGGGGCTGGAATCCATAGAGTGCAGAATGGGGTGGACTCATGTCTTCCCATTGGAACACATCAAACTGTGTTCCAGGCTAAGATAACTATTATCACGGAGTGTGCCAGGGAGATCCTGATGGCTTCGAATAGACTTGGCTGTCTATTTTCAGAGACAGCCAGGCTGGGCTCAAGGCGCTCGATTCCTGCGAGTTAAAAGTCTTAAGGTGGTCTGGAACTTCCTCACAGCAGTATGTGCCCTGGGGAGGTGCAACATGGTAACACTCTGTTGAGAACACTCAATGATAGAAGGGAACGAGGTTGCTTACAAGTTGGCGAACGTGGCGTCAGCCTCAGACTTTCTGGGACCACAGCCTTTCTGTGGAATTTCTTGTGATTATGCATGTCAGTCACAGTCCAGTCAGTCATGTCATGGACTCAGGAGGAACACAGGAAAATATGATTTAGGCTTCAACACCATAAGGTAAGCAAGTTTACTCTCTTCTCGCCTTCCCAGACAGTTGCCTCCATTGCTCGTCAAAACACGATTAGACAGGAGGCAACTAAGATAGATCACAGCAATGGCTTCTTAAAATTACACCTGCTTGAGGATCTAGGAAGTATGTAGGAAATGTGGGCAGTTGGAGGAGACTGCAGATCCTCTACTCTATTACTGTACAGCTGTGAATGAGATAAGGGAAAGCACTCTTGGACCAATGATAAGGGGCAGGCACCTTCTTCAGGAGAAGCTCATAGATAGGATGCTGAGGTTCATCAAGCAACTCAGGGTTGATGGGCTCCGATGCATAATCGGGGAGCACAAAAATCCCATCTCTGGCTGACGAGCACCAGAATAAGGTCGACTCCGATTCTATAAATCAATCAATCAGTAATTGGTAAATACAACAAAAATATTGCCTGTCCTCAATCACCCATCTTGAGAGCCTCCCTTCCTCAAAAATCAGTTGTGAATTATTTGATTAAATTAATAAATAACTCATGTTTCAGACGATGGTGCCCCCTGGGTGAGTGCTTATCAATTTTGGGATCATCCCCGGATTGACCCCGAATACAGCTCACATTCAAAGTTATATTCAATTGTCAACAGTGTCTTCCTTTTCGCACCAATCAACAGAATGATATACATTATACTAAGTAAACTTATAAAAAAGAATACTTCTTGATCTGGTCGATGATGTTTATAGTTGGGATTTAAATGGGAGCAAGATTTAATTAAGATTTTTCTATCAGTATATTTTTAATGTATGTGTTTGTAAAATGTAACTTATTCTAAATATCGGACAGAATACTATAAAATGTGTATAACCTTTAAAATTTCCTGTCATTACATAGGACTTAAGATGGGTTTCTGTTAATTCTATTGGTTCTGTGAGCCTTGATCCTGAATATTAAATAAAATTGATCAAATGAGGAAAGTATGCTTCTAGCAGAGTGTCTAAAATAGCAATATGTTTTTAAATTTATTGTTTCAAGAAGACAGTATTACATATTACATTTGTCATTAGCCATTTAATGAAAAGACTCTTCATTCAACTTAAAATGTATAAATTTATATTTTTTGACAATAGACAATTAATTTTTATTCACACATTCATTTTGTTATGTCTTATCTTTCTGAGACTGTAATCAAGTGAAACTTTTGTTTCCTTTCCTCCCTAAACATACTGTGAAACAATTTAATCTAAAGAATTAAGTAAGCCAAACAATTTCAAAGAATCATTTTAGATAGTGGCTAGTGAAAATGTGAAAACCAGATTTTAATGTGGATTAAGCTGGATGAAAGTTTATATTTTTATTTTTGTAAATATCCTAGAGTTAAATGTAAATTATAACTTTGTAATAAAGCTAAATATATTTCAAATCTCTGTATTATTTGATTTTTTCCTACAGTACAAATCCTTAACTCATGAGTCATACAACTAGACATTCCATCCCCATGTTAAAGTTGTCACCAGTTTTTAAAATCAAAGTCATCGTAGTTGATGTGAGCCACTGACAGATTGTCCTGATTTAAACTATTTATTTCCGCCGAATACACAAACTTTTTGACCAAGTCAAACTGTTATGACTCATCAACTATGTAAGCAACAAAATAAGGAAGAAAATAAAATGTTAAGCACTAACGCAATCTGTAACTGGCTCACAAATATGTTCTTTTTGAAAAAAAAAATTGGCGACAACTGGTCCATAAAAAATTTTTGTAATTTAAAAAAATTTTGATTTTAAACAAAGAATTTACTTTTGTGATACTCATCAAAATATAAAATTCATTGATCCGCAACACGACGCACTCAAATTATTCTCCGGAAATGTCCTAGGGCATTAATAAGCAATTTTAATGTGTAGTGACTTCATCAGGGGAGGGAGATGGTCTAGTGGTAGATCACAAAGCTTCGATTCCCGAGGTCCCAGGTTCAAATCCCAACAATCACCAATGGAATTTATCCATGTGATAATAACACAACCCTCTAGGGCTAGAACTAGCGTTCTAGGATGTGAATGTGGGACATTAAAAAATGTGTAGTAACTTTAAAATTACTTCGGACTTTGAGATGTTTTTCTTATCTTAAGGTGAAATAAAAATAACTACACCAAATCTTTGTTCTAAGTTCTAAGTTTATTCAATGGAGTCGTTTGACAATCGACAGACTTTTGCAAAACCAACTTATTTAATTATAAAATTAACATAACCCATTTACAAAACACCTTCAATAATTAAATATACACTTATCAATAAATAAAAGGCACTTATGACTTATGTACATTTTGAATTGTTATACATATTTTGCCCATAGAGGCTACAAATGTTAGATTTACCTATTAAGAGTATGAATGCAGGATTCATTGATTAGGCATATTCCAAGAAACCTATATTTAACCCTATCGTTTGTTTTGGAAAGTCTGTACAAAAAGGCTCTTAGTTAGGTTTAGTTTGGTTAGTCTTTAGTCTCGTAGTTTGAGTAAGCCTCATCGGTTTTAAGAAATTGGTAGCATATTGGACAAAATACAATTTAAGTTGAAGTTTAGTACATTAAAATAAATAATAAATAACAATCAAAAATCCTAAAACAGAATTACATTACTGTCATAAATTAAAAACAATAAGTTAAATCTAAGGGAAACACACAGTAAAAATCTTAAATCTTCCGGAACAACAAGTTGTAACTAGCTGTACGATTTAGAGTTTCTAATAGATTTGTAGACACCTGATTTCATGGATACAAATTAAAATTCAAAGTTACAACTATTAGTCAATATTTAAAATCTGATTGCTTTAGCGTAAAAGCATTTCATGTCCAATGAAAATAACAAAGTAAAAATTAATAAAATAAAACATTTTCTAACTAAAACTTTCATTGTCTTTGTGTTTCTTTTTCTTCTTCTTTTTAGCACTTCCACCAAAAGACTCTTCCAGCTGCTGTTCTACAAGAGCTGCAATAATATTTGTTATTAGAAAATTTAGTTGTTATTGGGCTACAATGACATGTTATTGAAATTAATTGTTTAGGTACATTTTTCACAATTTTCTTCTTCATCCTACAATGATTTGCTGTAAAATCCTTCTCTTCTCACCATTGTACTATATTTTGTGCTCCAATGTTTTCTCAGGCGGTTGGTGTGACACTTCTTTATAATTGTGTTTGTTCTCTTATGGTTATGGTATGGTTTTTTCAAAATTTTCAAATTTGAGTTTTGTGAAAATATCAATAGTTAGGTACTTCTTTAATACTTTTCAATGAAATGGCGACCATACATAGTAGATATTTTAAACCAAGCATGAATAGAGATGAGTGTAGGATGAGTTGCGCGATCTTGTAGTCTTATTAGTGACTAAGGCCGACTTATTCCTTAGTCACAGCTGTTAATTAATTAATACAGTAGCCCATAATGACAACTAAGGGACCTACAGTTTATAATGTAATCCGAACCACATTGGCCTTGGTATATACGAATTGGTCTAATTTTCAGGATAGTACTGCAGATAGTCGTAGTACTCACTTGTGTGGACGTTGATCCACACCATTTAAATATTTTAAATATCCACTTCCACTGCTTACTGCTTCTAAGGGTTATTGACAAGCTTATTTGAGTATGACAAGTTGTTTTGCTGATACCGTTTATTCTGAAGGCGGCAATCTCATAAACCAAATGGAACCTGTTGTTTGTATATTTGTAGGGTTTCAAAAATATCAATCACTACGTAAAAGCTTCAATTACAGGAAACCTTTTTACACATTTCCAGTGGTTTTTCATATAATTGAAGGTGGGGTTTGGATTGTGACTAGGCCTACTGGCAATTTTATAGATATCTTTTTTAGCTTCAAGTTATTATACCGATATAATTTTTACCTGGAACTGTGTCATCTTCACAGTGCTTATGTTTCTTTTTCTTCTTTTTTGATGACAAAACATCGCTGGGAACCACATCTAATGACAGTGAACCTGTTAACAATTTTACTAAATGACTAGTTGGAAAGTTAGAATATAATGTTGTATGTTTTATGTTTAATTTGTTAAATAACAAAAAATCTGTTAAAAGTGGGTTGGGAGGACTCTTTGTTGTTTGCACATCTAATCAAAAATGTAGGCATTGCAACATATTTATCTTCGATATTAGTTCACCCTTAAAAATTGTTATTTTAATAAAAGGATTTTTTTGTTTGAACAAGGAAAACATTACAAAGTTAAGTCAATAAAAAAACATTAAAAAGTTATGTCAATAAATAATCCCTTGAGCTACCTACAAAAATCGCTGAAATAGCCTTCCTTAGGGATAAAAAGCTTAAGATGGAAAACTTACCATTGTAACTTTCATCGTGTTTCTTTGAATGTCTTTTCTTTTTTGAAGAAACGTGAGTAATCCTCTCCGCAGTGCGAGGTTGTTTGGAGAAATCTAAAAGAAAAGTAACTCTATGTTACCTAGAATTCCTCTATACATTATACAACTATACGGGGCAATCTTAAATGGATACCAATGAACCACACCAAGAATTTGTTGAACCAAAAATCTTGTTGGTTCTTGACTTTGTGTTTATACATGATCTTAAATTTTGCAAAATTTTGCTAAAAAGATTTCACTAACCGGGGGCTATGTAATACCCCCCAGAGGAGACGGACGTCTGGGTAGTAAATTATAATGATATAAATTATAGTAAATTATCCAGGTAAGTAATTAATTATACTTGCAAAGTCACAATTTTAAACTCTTTGACGAAGAAAAAATGCTATGAGGTTATATAAGAGGTATTGTTTTAAAAAACACAGAATTGAAAAAAAACCTCATCTGCATCCATGTGTTTGGAGAAAAACCTACAGGAGATAGTCAATCGATGTTCATATTACAGTAGACTCCCTCTTATCTGGACATCTTTTAACCAGACTACACTCGGCAGAAATGACATCTCTTAAACGGACAATTTTTATCAGCACATCAGTTTAACCGGACTCGATTGGCAGGAAGTTGGCGGTACTGAAACAACTGTTCTCAAGGGAAATATTTTAGACCAGTGATCACGTGCCTAAATACAATGCTCTAATAAATTTAATTCAATGCATTTAAATGGTTTTAAGAGTTTTTGGGGACGTCGGTTAAACCGGGAAACCCGTTATCCGGAAAACGGGGACTGGCATCGGTCCCGAGGAGTCCAGATAAGAGGGAGTCTACTGTATACAAAAATAAGTAGGCCTACACTTAAAACATACCAATTCCTAGTAGAGGATGTCGTATTCTAAGATTCTCTGGAAACTCAACCCTACTTGGAGGTTCAGAAATTATTTGACTGGAACTATTGTTAACTGCTTTCACTGATTCCTCTACTATAATGTTTCCAGTGATTGGAACCCTACCTGAAATAAAAAGCAATATTAAACATCAAAATTAGATTACACGCTAAAATGTCATCAGAAAAAGAATATTTTGTGAACAAAAACTATTACCTAATCCCACATCTTCATCTTCTACCCAAAAAGGATTGATGGTGTCAAAATATTTCATTTTACACCAATTTAATAAATTTAAAACAAACTGACACAAATACGAAACATACATTTACGACTTAAGCATGATGATAGGCGGATGTGTCAAATTCGGAAAAATGTGTAGTAAAAAAAATCTTTCGGGGAGTCGTAAGCTGTGGACTTGAGGGATCAGCTTCTTTAAGAAAAGCTTTTGTTCGAAATGCTTAATGAGATTAAGTAGGTACCGGTAGCTCGTTATAAATTTGTATTGCCACTATGTTGTAGCTCGCTTGGCATCACACTAGCCTAACCTTAGGTACATCAAATAAATCGTGCAGCCTTGTTCAGTGGTCATGAAACGCTGAATGGGGTTTTGAAACTTATTGCAGTTCTCATGGATCAGTAGTAGGCCTGAGCATACCAGGGTGTAGTGACTGTTAACAGTGTGGGTTCCTAGTCTTGCAAAGAATAAAGTTCTCGCCTATGACTTAGTTACAAAATGTTAACTCTTTGATTACCGAGTGCCGAAATTTTGGATTCAAAAGTATATGCAAGAAAACCTGAGCAAAAAAACGAAGGATGACGACCATTTGCTACGTCAGTTAGATATCTGTTGCAATATTATCGTAATTAAGTACCGGTATGTTACTCTCAAGTCAAGAGCTATGTAGACTTACGCAGATCTAGTTGGTTACGTTCACTAGGCACTGCCAGCGTAGCACTTCGTGGGTTGGTGTTGCGGTAACTATAAGACTCGTACGTCTTCTCTCCGTCGTCCAGTTTACAACTGCCATCTAGATTGAGTCTTTGACTGACTAAGGCTGAGCAATCCATCTACGAAAAGATGATTTGATCAGTTGAAATTTAAAACAATACTACAGATTTTCAGAGTGACACTAAGGGACTAAATAAATTATATGTTGCATCAGGATACAAAAAAACTGAAAAAAAAACTACCAAAATAAAATTTTCACTTAGTTTATATGTTGCAGTTGGTTGACTTTTGGCAAACCTCAGCTGTTGAGCTATTGTTTTAAAACTAGGATCATGTGGAGGGGATTAATTTCTTCCTCTAAAACCAAAAACATTTTGTGAACTAAGTATAACAAGTGTATAACACAGGGTGAAGCAGTGAAACGGCACGATTCCGTTACCAGCTGGCAAGAATTAAGGGCTATCAAAGTACGGGGGAAATTACCATAGGCGTCTAGACAAATGGAAATTTCAGTAGCCATAAAGTGTTGGACGAGTGCACAACACGCGTTTGCTGTAAAGGCAAATTACAAAAAATTGGATAGTATGGTTTGTGCTCAGCACACTTTCCGTTGTGAGTTCATCCTATCACCGCGGGCTCACGTGACATTAAGGAAAGCTATCCTCCTTTGGGTGAATAACTTTGAAGCCACTGCTAGCATGACATGGCGCTATAAAACGATTGCAGACGTTATAAAAACGCGATAACTCGTCATAGGCTGATTTCAATTATTAATTTAACAATGTGTGTAAAACCAAGTACGCCATTTGACTGACAATGAATTTTTAAAATATTTTTTTAAAGGTGAAACATTAATTTCCACTTAGCCTATGTAGGCTACTTAGAATTTCTGTTAAAATAACAAAAAAATTTTCTAAATGAATTAGGCCTATTTGTGATGTTTCAAAATCGTGCTGTTTCACTGCCTCACCCTGTATTATTAATTTCATAGAGAAATGACCAATACTTACATCACTAGGACATTGCAGAATCCAAATGTCATTCTTTTCAATCAAATCTCTATCTAGTAGTAATGCAAGTTTTGAAATGTCATCGTTCAATTCTTGCGTAAACTTTGGCATGCGGCGAATCTGAAATACACTTCTATCAGTTTATGTGAAAGAAAAAAACAAGTGAATCTGAAATAATCAACATCATGAACTAAAGTGAAAATTGAATGAAAGGTGAAGATCTTTAAAGTTACAATTATATTTTAGCTTAATAAATCAATCAATAGTCTTTTCACCCAGGGTTTTTCACCTGAGGAAAGGATCCTCTACATTCTGAAATGTTGAGGAATTTGTAATAATCGCTATGATCCCTCAAAATAAGTTAACAAAAAAATTAACTATGAACAAAAAATATCTTTTGTAAATATTGGCTAAGACTATGAGTTTAATTTTTAAATGAAAGAAAACCAATCCATTTGATTAAAAACCCTGCTTAAGTAAATAGCTTACTATGCTACGTATGGTTAAGTCTGTAACATAGAGCACAAGGGTCTAGGTTTTTTGGATTTTTTGAGAGGATGGCAAGCTTACCTGAATGCAAAGTCCAAACTGGTACAAAAACATGAAACTTTATACTATATACATGAAAATTCAAATATTTCACTGTCACTGACAGCATTTACAACTAAGGAAGAGTATTCTTCACGTCAAATATGGTGGCCAGTGTATACATATTGGACCTAAAGAAAACTCTCTCTTCCTTAGCTGAAAATGCTGTCAGTGACAGTGAAATATTCTAATTTTTGTGTATATAGTGTAAAGTTTTGTGTCTCTTGTGCCAGTTTGGACTCTTTCCCATTCTGGTAAGCCTCTTATCATCTCCAAAAACCTTATTATGCTATATGTTTATATGATACAGCCCCTTGCGCAATACTAATACTCACTTGTTTCTTAACACTTTCCAAAGTACTAGAAGTTGATATCACAGCTTTTTCTGCACTAATTTCTTCTTCCGAACTGTAGGATGATTCATGCGGGGCTTTTCCATTTGCAGCAGAATCCCTTACATAAATGTCATTGGAAGTAACTTTATCATCACTCATAGCATTTTCATTATCACTCTCCGAACTCAACAGATGGGTGTTCATAGAGTTTCTATTTGTTTTATCAACAACCAGTTCCTTGCTACCTTTAGAGGAAGGTCTGTCTGAGATTTCACCATCACTAGACGACACATCGTGGCTCTTCTCTTTCCGTTTTACCTTTGTTCTTACTTCATTCTCTTTGGTTTTAGTCTTCTTTGAAATAGGCCTTTCATGCTCAACATCAGAAGCACTATCTTCACGCTTTCGTTTTTCGGTCTTGGCCATTTTTCTTGGTACCTAAAATCATTGGAACTATTTGAAAAATAGGATTTAGACATTATAAGACATATTTATACTGAGATAATACTCAGTCATGCTTTTACTGCAAACAAGAAACATCTTACCCAATGTTACTGAGTGTATGGTGTGAGAGAAAAAATTGTGTTATCAACAGAACCATATGATCATCTTCATAACGAACACAGGTTTTTCTACCTTTAGTCAACTAACTGTAATCAAATGTTTCTACTGTAACTTACTTGATTCTAGTTGTTCAGAGTGATAATTTAAGTATTGTAGTGTACAGAATTTTGACGCATAGTCGTGTGATTGTTAATTAGCTGTTTATTAATGTGTAAAAGTAAATATACCACCAGTCCTGCTAACCTAAACCCCACCATTACAAAAGTATGGCTGATCCAAGCCACGCGTAAGGGAAAACATGTTAAGCCTAGTTCACACTTGAAGACTAAGTCGGCCGACAGTCAGCAGACATTCAGCCTATCGTCTGCCGACAGTCTGTCAACATAGTTTCGAATACAAGTTTCCGATTTGTTTTGCGTACACACTGGCCATCCAGTGTTTATCAGTACCTATGGCGACTGAAGACGACAAGATTTTTTTCTGTGTGCTTTTTACTTTTTAACCATGTGGCTGATGTACCGAGGATGGGACAATGTTGGATCCGTAGTAGCACTAGGAAGGTTTGTGCTATTGTCAAAACTCATCAGACCTTCGATTAGAAGATGGTGCAGGATTTAGTTACTTTGAAAGATTTACGCTAGCAGATTTGGAGGTTCTGTTAAAGGCTTTGTAAGCATTAATTTCATGGTGTCGTAGCCTCTGTAGGCGTATCGTTAAGCAAAATTGTTCAATTTACCTGGCTTTGTCAAGTGATTCTTGTTTTTAAGTCAACAACAAACTACATAAAAGGTCACTTGACAAAGCCAGGTAACTTACACCATTTTGCGTACGCATTAAGTCTTACAGTGCTGCAAGTTAAGCCCTGAACTCCAGCCACGCTGAACACCAGCGGGTTTGAGTTAGGCCTATATTAAATCTCCTGTCTCCAGCAACCTTCTCACATGCAAACTTGTTTCATGTCTACGTGTTCTTGTCCCATTTGTATAATAAACAGAAAACACTGTAGGCCTACTTTATCTTCAGAACACCTAGATTTGTTTGCTGACAGTTGGCCGATCATCTTGACACTTTGCTAGAAACAAAATCAACACAACAGAGACAGTTGGCTGACAATGTTTACGGAGATAAACCGCCAAGTGTCAACTAGGCTTTAGGCCGAAGTGTATTTAAATTAATCAAAGTTACACACTTTGAAATACTCAGGGTAATAATTGGGACTGTTCAAGATCGTTTTATAATCCCACATCTAACAGATATTATTAGAGGTTCTGTACGGAATTATTTTTAATGCTACTTTTTTTTTTGCAAAATCCCTAGGGAGAAAAGCCAGCAATCGGTAAAATAGGAAAATTTTCTAAATAATTAAAAAAGTTATAGGTACTTGCATAAAGTAGTCCACATAACATTAACAATTCTATTAACCTTTTTCCAAATGAATTACTCTCTCACAGATACTTACGATATCAAGACACTTTTCTGTTTTATTCTTCTCTATATCATCCACATCAGTTGAGTCAAGCAATATGTCTTTGGGAGTAGACTTTGGAAGACAATTTGTTTCAGAAGTGATAGAGTGGTCAGTGTCACTATTGGAGTTATCACAGATTGTAATATTACTATTATGAAATCTAGATTTAGATTTAGTACCCTTTTCTAAAAAGTCTCTTTTACTGCCAGGTGTACGCCAAATTTTATTAAATTTTGGTTTCTTAGACTGGAGCAATTTGCGAACTAGCTTGCCATTGGGTAATAGATCATTATATCTTTTATAATTAGTTGAGTCATTTTTTTCATCAGAAGAATCTTCAGAGCTGTCATCAATGAATCTTATTTCTTTTTCATTAGGGTTGTTGCAAGCCCAATCTTTTTTTGCTAGATATTCTGAATTTGAGTCAAGCAATATGTCTTTGGGACTAGACTTTGGAAGACAATTTGTTTCAGAAGTGATAGAGTGGTCAGTGTCACTATTGGTGTTATCACAGATTGTAATATTACTATTATGAAATCTAGATTTAGATTCAGTACCCTTTTCTAAAAAGTCTCTTTTACTGCCAGGTGTACGCCAAATTTTATTAAATTTTGGTTTCTTAGACTGGAGCAATTTGCGAACTAGCTTGCCATTGGGTAATAGATCATTATATCTTTTATAATTAGTTGAGTCATTTTTTTCATCAGAAGAATCTTCCGAGCTGTCTTCAATGAATCTTATTTCTTTTTCATTAGGGTTATTGCAAGCCCAATCTTTTTTTGCTAGATATTCTGCACATGTCATTCTATTGATGAGCTACATCTGTAAGCCAAACATTTGTACGTAAGTAAAAAATATTAATAAATCACTATTTTCATGTTAAGTTTTAATTAACATACAGCTCCAATGAGGTAACCAACAGCGAGTGATTAAAAAACATCTACCAAATCAGATAACTTAAGTTATTACAGTTCTGCAGAGATCCTATCCGAATATAATAGGAACTACTATAAGTCACAGGGAAGCAATAAGGAACAAAGACGATGTTGTACCCTAACCTACGCTTCTGGCAAGGCCTAGAAACGAGTGGAGCAGCAGTCAAGTATGAAGCAGAGGTATGCATAGACTCGCGTTTCTGTCTGTATTTAATCCTTTAAGTTATAAAATTAACTCTGAGGCCTAACTGTTACGGTATATATTTCTTAATAAGTAAAATCTTAACAGAAATAAATCTACAAGGATGTTAATTTGTATTGGTGTCCCCTATTTCATGAGGGAACTAAATAAAAAGGTAAAATTTTGGGCCCTAAGTGATACGTTGATTGTTATTATAACAAAACTGATTTGAACTAATTTGGCCTATAAGTAAGTTTACTCTGCAGCACGCTGTAAGTGGCAAGCCGCTATCTTCTTAAATACCTTAGACACCCATAAGTATAAGAGCATATCAATATCTAGGCTCAATTTAGTGAAATATTTCAATCGATAAGTTATTTCGAGACGAGACATTACTAGTTACAGGCCTGTCTCCATAGTTCCGGTTCTGGGCAAAATCATTGAAGCCGTAATATCATCCCAACTGACACAGAATTTGGAGACAAACAGTTTAATATCAGATAGGCAGTATGGCTTCAGGAAGGGTAAGTCCACCACTGGAGCAATTAAGAGGTTAGCTGACTTAGTTGGTGAAGCTTTTGAGGCTGGCGATACTGTGACTCTCACAATGTGTGACTTGAGTCGTGCTTTTTGACTGTGTCAATCATAGTCTTCTGCATGGGAAATTGAGGATTTTGGGAGTAGGCAGTGTGGCACTAACGATGATCGACTTCTATCTGACGGGAAGACAGCAGGTGGTCTCCGTTGAGGGTGCAACATCGAGCCCAAAAGTGTCAGGTACGGTGTTCCTCAGGGATCGACTGTAGGCCCGTTACTATACTTTATAATGATCAACCACCTTGATAAGAGATGGAGGGGTGGTGCTTTTTGCCGGCGATACACCTCTGGTATCACGGGGACCCCAAGTTAAGAACTGTCCACAGCAGATGCAAACCAGCATCTCGCTGGTTTGAAGAAAATGCTTTCCAGCTCAAGCAGGATAAGACCCAGGCACTGGTCTGCAGTCTGGCGAGAAATGCCCCACGTGATGAGCCAGTGAAGCTCCTTAGATTCCATCTGGATAGGAAGTTGGCGTGGAATGATCACATTGGCAAAGTTAGTAGCAAACTTTATAGGGTATGTTGCCTGCTGCTCAAACTACGTGATTTAATCACTCAGCCATACCTGCTGAACATCTAACATGCTATGTTCCACTCCCATGTGAGCTATGGCCTACTGCTATGGGATCATGCTGCAGATGTTGAAGACATTTTATTGCTGCAAAAACGTGCTGTAAGACTCATTACTTTTAGTGACCGTGTTACCCACAGTAAACCCATCTTTGCAAGATTGGGAATTCTCACAGTTTATAGCCATTACATCCTGGCATGCTCACTACTGAAACATGACAACTACGACAAGCTCCAACTCCGTTCAGCATTTCACGACCATCGAACAAGGCAGCACAAGTTACCGGATGTGCCTATGGTTAGGCTTGCAAGATCGCATAAGAGTTATAGGTAATACAGTGGCAATACAAATTGTTAATAAGCTACCTCACTTAACAAGTGTCTTGGGCGTAAACTTTTGACAAAGGACCTTGATCAAGTTAGGTAGAGGCTAGGCCTACTGAATATGATATTGTCTCTCCTTAGTGATACAAAATATACCGAACTAAACAACAGATATCAGCAAATGGACATGGTTTATTAATTTTGTTAAAAGCTAAATGAATGGAAATAAAAAAGTTAGGGTGTGGACTAGGCCTATACACAATTTAGAGCAGTAAGAATACATTACCGTACTTCACTTCACATTAATGATCGTTTATTATCCAGAAACTTCACACAAATAAACATAAAAAAAAACCTTAGTCTTACTGGAAACAACCTACCAAACCAAATCAAGTCAAGAAAAGGTTAAGGTTTAAGGTTAGGTTAGCGTGAATTTATGAAATAAATTGTAAACATAACCTCAATGTCTGTCGCCCGTTTATTACATACAACCTCGGTGGGGCACACGGGAGGGACTGACTACTGACTATGGGTACGATGCCATAGCTTATAATGTCATAGCTTATAATTGCGAATATGTTGCATAGCTTATAATCTTGAAAATGTGGCATAGCTTATAATGGAAAATTTAAATTGTTCCATAGCTTATAATCGTATAAATGTGGCATAGCTTATAACGGTTTTCTTAAAATGTGGCATAACTTATAATGGTATAGCTCAAATGTGCTGCAGCTTATAATATCTCGTTTGTTCTATAGCTTATAATTTTAAAAACGTGGCATAGCTTATAACGCGCGGGAATTACGTCATAGTGGATGGGACAGCTGATCGATCCTGAGTAGACAAAAAAATTATCGTGCAATGGTCCTCAAATTATCGTATGGACTAGCAGCCGCTACTCGGCAATAAGAAGTTGCGTTAAGTGCAGCCAACGTAGCAAAACCAAAAGTATTTCAATTTTTTTCTACTCCTGGACGACATATGTAATAGATGTAGCCTATATATGAAATGGTTTTTTGTTGAATAATAGAATAACTTTTTGTATCTGCTGTTTTACTTTAATTACGTAAGCTGAAATATATTATCATAAGCTTGATGTTGCTCGTGTTGCTTATTTATGCTATGCATGGTAGCTATTGTATAATATTTATTTTGTAATATTGTGTAATACCGGTGTAAAAATACTTTTTCATAGATAAAACCGTAGACTTTGCAACATAAGTAGACTTCTCATCCCATTGTTGATTTTGAAGCTTGTTTTTCGTGTCTAGTTCATGTATGTCGACACTGATCGCTAGTGTAAACGAAATATTGTTTCTATTATATTAGGGTAATTTTAAGATTTGTGCTTTACGGTTTGGTTAGATAACTTGGAGACCAGTTTTTTGTATGATTAGATAGTTTTATTTGGTCAAATTAGGTTTTAAATAACTGAAATAACAATCAAGAAACATATTGTAAAAAAAAAAACACAACCTCTACAGTCGGCATAGAATATCAATAAAATTGCCTTCAGCTTTTCAACAAGGATGACAAATCTTCTAAGGGGCTTAATGTTTGATCTATGATCAAAACATATTTAGTAGATTTGTCATACTTATGGAACAGCTTAAGCCCAAATTGTAGTTTTATTTGTGTACGGTGCAATGTAGATTATAGAGGTCATGTTTTGTTTACAATTTGTTTATTATTATTTTACTGTTTACGCCTTCATTTAGCCAAATAAAACGATCTTCTCATGTAGCGGTCAGTGTCACAGGACAAGAACTAAAGTAGACACAAAAACCGAGATTTAAAGATTAGGTCCATAATTAGTGAATTGAAAAATTCCAGATCCTCAGGATGGAATGGCATTCCCTCTTTTATTTTAAAAATTTGTAAAAACAGCATTGTTGAACCTTTGTCATACATCATCGACATTTCTATTAATAAAGGCATATTTCCAGATGTACTGAAATATAGTATTGTTTGTCCAATCTACAAAAAAGGAGATAAAACACAGCTTGAGAATTTCAGACCAATATCCTTATTGCCAGTTTTCTCCAAGGTTTATGAAAAATTAATCTGTAATAGACTAGTGACTAGTATCATATCTTGAAACCATCAACATTCCTTGTAGTAATCAGTTTGGATTTAGGGGTTGTAACACTTCAGATGCTATCTTTGAGGTCTTGAATTACATAGCAAGTGCCGTTGATGGATCACAGTATGCCATTGGCATTTTCTGTGATTTGTCAAGGGCATTTGACTGTGTCAATCACAATATTTTATTGCACAAACTTCAGTTTTATGGAATTAGACAAAAAGCTTATGATTTGGCGGAGTCGTACTTGTTGGGTAGAAAACAAAAAGTTCAACTGAATTACTCATCTTAACTATTAAGGCTTCAAAAATGTCACTGAAGGTGTTCCCCAGGGTTCAATAATGGGTCCGTTGTTGTTTCTTATTTATGTTGATGACCTCTTGAAACAAAATCTTAAGTCAAAATTGGTAATGTATGCTGATGATACTACTGCAGTATTAAAAAATAAAAACCCTGATATTTTAAAAATTGAAATTAAAAATGATCTTGATCTTATGACTGGATAGTTTCTGGCCAATAATCTTAAACTTAACAGAAATAAAACATATTGTGTGAACTTCCATTCTAATAGCATAAAAAGTAGACAGATTGACTATAACCCGTTAGAAGACACATTAAGTAAAATTCAATCTTGCAATCTTTTAGGAATAAAATTAGACTCAACTCTAACATGGTCTGATCATATAAATCAATTGGAATCTAAGCTTAATGCAGCATTTCACGTTACTTTAGTGCTTTCAAAATTAATAGATGAAAAAACTCAGATAATGGTATACTTTGCATATGTGGACTCTAACATTGGCTATGGTATTGAGTTCTGGGGAAATGCCACCACTGACAGTAAAAAAATATTTAAAATACAAAAGAGAATTATAAGAGTTATTGCACAAGTTAATCCAAGAACATCTTGTAGAAATTTGTTTAAAAGAATGAAGATTTTACCTGTGCCCTCTTTGTATATATTCAACACTTTAATCTTTGTCAAAAAACATTTTTCTATTTATGAAGAAAAAAGAAGTAACTCCCAATACAGCTTTAGGCCCATGAGCTCTGTGTTGCAGTACCCCACACATATATCAGCTGCTTATGAAAAGAGTACTTTTTATATGGGTCTCAAACTGTATAATAAGCTTCCTTTATCACTGAGAGAGGTAGAATCATTTAAAAAGTTCCTGTTACACTTACTGTCTTACCTGTTAGACAATTGTTGTTACAGAATTGAGGATTTTTTATCAGTCTGATTGTAATAAACATAACTTATAGACATTGATATAACTTATTTGTAAACTTTGCTAATAACCTAACTTATGTTATACTTGTTTTTCAATACTGTTAATAATTTATTCTATTATTTTTATTACTATATTTATTATTATGTTGCTTTTATTCTATACTATTATTATATTTTGACAATTTACCTGCCTGCGTGCAGAAGCACTCCTTAGGCGTTATGTGATGTATTTTAATAAATAAATCACTGACTATGTATCAATACCAATTAATTATATCAAAATGGATACAAAATGTACTTATTAGTATCTGAATCTGAAAACATGTGCTCAAGAACAGGAAATGACAAAACATAAAATAAAATGTAACGGCTTGTACGACCCACTAAGAGTAGGTAATTATAACACTAATACAATAAATAATATATAGTTACTTACTTACTAGGTTGTCAGACACAAAACACTTGGAATCAGAGATAATACGGATGAGTTTTTTTCCAAAATGCGGACAAATTGAATTTTGGTTGAACTAAGACGTGAAATTTTGGGAGCGGTATGTATAAGTTGGTGAGGATGAAACGAGTTTTTCCTAACTTAATTTAATTCCAAACGCGTGGCAATTATATCCCTGCGGGATATAGGCTTTAGGGTTTGTTGAAAATTAAATTTTTGCCAACTAACACAGCAAACTACAAATTGATTTGCACGACTCCACTTAACAACTCACCCCACGCATAGGATGGTTGGAGACACACTGGTCACTGAGACAGACCCTTGGCTAGAAGCTTTCCCCACCACGTCGTAGGGCCGTTGGGTAAGTCGCCTATGTCTAATCAGCTGAAAACTTCGGAAAAGTTTCGGTTTCGAGATTCGATCACAAAGTTTCAAGATTCAAAAGTTTCGAAATTGAAGATTTTGGCAGTTTTATTTTTGAAACTACTGACATTTTTTTGTGCCATTGTTATTGTTTTTTAGCCTTAAATTTATTTTTAAGTAAATTTTATTCTGAACTTCAAAAGGTATCTTAAATACTATAACTGGTACAATTCAGTTTCACATCAATATTTACTAAATGCAAAAACAAATATTGACCACTAAATGTTCTAATTAATTTAATATTCATGTTTATGTTGGTGTTAGAAGTTTAATTATTTGTTTTGTTAGTTGTTTATAAAAAATTATTTTTGGGATTTAAGATTATCAGTCACATTCACATATTTATGTTTTGTCATGGTCAGGAATTGATCTCTTTCAGTTTTGATTGCATACTTAACATTTTATGATTATGTGTATTTTTTGTAACCTTGACCTTTGTAACCAGCTAAGTAAAAAAGTTTCGCGTTTAGGTTTTGAGATTCGGGATTTGATTTTTTTAAAGTTTCGGTTTCGGTTTTGAGATTCGAAATTTCTGGTTTAGACCATCACTATTGCATCACATTCGGTACAAAAGAATGAAATTTAAATTTTGCTTGTCGCTTGTTTTGGGCGACACACCAAGCCTTAGTTGCAACCCAAACTTGAGCATAAATGGGGCCTAAGGTAAATATCAGGGGTATCCCTAGGGTTGGCAGCGCCCGGAGCAAACATGGTTGTGGCGCCCCCTCCCCCCCAGTAATAATAGTCGCATTCACATATTTTAATCAATTTTATGTATAGATAATGAGAAATAAGTTATAAATGAACATAATATTTGTATTAGCAAGCCTATTCTTTAAATATAATAATCTTAAAATTTGGTTGTCCGGATGCAGATAAACTCCTAGGGAGGAATTTGGAAATCCATTAGCCTATGTCTTACTGGGATAATTATGAAGTACTTTTATTTAAGGACTGGTGGTCTTGGTTGTGTTACTTACTTTTTTAAAAGGTGAAAATCAATATGAATAGGCTCAATAATGGAGTGTATTTTAATATTTCATCAAGAATAATAGGCGAGCAGCATTAAACATTTTGGTTTATAAAATATTTCTTAGATAAGGGTAGGGACCTTAATAAAACACAACAATGAATCATAATAGGTAGTCTATAAATTGGAGAAAGTTTTACTGTTTAAAAAATACTTCTTACAACACAATT